GGATCATGCGGGGGGGCCGGTGCTGCTAGGAGGAAACCCCCTGCACAGCATTTCCACCGCACCTCTCATAGAATCATCGAATCATTAAGGTTGGAAAAGACCTCTAAGGTCATCGAGTCCAACCGTCAACCCAACACCACCGTGTCCACTAAACCATGTCCCTAAGCGCCGCATCTACTCGTCTTTTAAATACTTCCAGGGATGGGGACTCAACCACTTCCATGGGCAGCCTGGTCCAATGTTTAACCACTCTTTCAGTAAAGACATTTTACTGAAAAAACTCTCCCTGGCAAGTGTCACTAATCGGGCGCAGCCTGCTTGTGCGTGTCAGGAGACGCTCATATTTCAACCCAGTTTAAGTTTCAAAGGGGCTCTGCATGCCAGCCAGGAGGAAAATCAAGAATTCTTGAAAACCACACGCTCCTCTAAACAGTCAGTCAGGGACTAGGATGCAAAAGGTGGATTTTAAACTGAGGGTCGCTCAGAGGAGCTCCGAGATCCATTTGCCCAAGGTCCCACCAAGGAGGAAGCTGCAGATGCGCCGGACCTCAGGCAAAGCACAGGTGCATCCAGTGCACGTCAGGACCTCTTCCGAACTTCAGCCCCCAGCCCTCCCGTGATCCACCTCCTCATTTCCCTCCTGCTGGCCTGTGCTCCTCTCCGCTTTGGCTCCTTCTCCACCGTCAGACTGCAGCCATGTTATGCTGCTCCAGTCCCCGGGCTGACACCTGCTTGCTCTCTGCAAGCACATCCCTTCAAGCTTCCTCTCCTGCCCCTCAGCACCTACATTCGTCCCTCCCCAAACTGATGTCCGCACACCTCCGGTTTATTTCTTGTTAAAAACGTGCGTCTTCCTCCTCCCTTGAAGTAACAAGGCGGCATACGCAGGCGATGGCTGCCATTTGGGGAGACCTCCTCCGCTCACGAGCCAGGTTATGCCCAAACAGCTCACGAGGAGAGTCAAGTCCGGTGCCCCACTTAAAGCTCTGCCTGTTCTTTCACTTGGGTGGGAAGGGGACCGGGAGGACTTTGCACACATTTCCAGCAGCACAGGCTCCACCTGGCTGACGTACAAGCAACAGGGCCCTCTCAGAAAGCGGAGGAGAGCGGCAACGTCCTTCACCGAGACGGGGCGATGGAGATGTGCTCCGTCACGCAGGAGTCACCAAAACCGGACTGCAATGCGGGAGCTGTACCGCCACGAGCCCGCATTGAATTTCAGCCGTCTCCGAAAGGTTTCCGTAGGCATCAGCCGGCTCTTACCTGATTGGAGGACATGTTCTCAGCCTTCATTAGTGACGAGTAGCTCCTGGAAGGGAAATTGCATTATCTTGCATGATATGTTTTCAAAACCCACCAACAGAGAGGCGTTTTGATAAAACAGGACCAAGTACCAGAAAAACAATTTTTTTTTCCTTTCTGAACTCAGGCAGGCTAGACAAGTATTTGCTTATCTCCTACTCTTTGGCTAATTAAAACAACCGGAGAAAGCCCAGGCGCTATGCAGCCTGCTTCTCCACAGCTTTGTTCAGGAACTACCGGCTCGATCATCCCAGGAGGTAGAAAATCCTTTACTTTGGGGGACGGCCAAGAGGCAGCTCTGGGGCAAGTTTGGGTAAGCAGGCAGACCCCCTAGTCTGCAGCGCAGACATGCCTGCTGGGCATGCTCCTCCCTTTAGTTTGCTTCTCTACCCAGGCGCTATGCAGCCTGCTTCTCCACAGCTTTGTTCAGGAACTACCGGCTCGATCATCCCAGGAGGTAGAAAATCCTTTACTTTGGGGGACGGCCAAGAGGCAGCTCTGGGGCAAGTTTGGGTAAGCAGGCAGACCCCCTAGTCTGCAGCGCAGACATGCCTGCTGGGCATGCTCCTCCCTTTAGTTTGCTTCTCTAAGCTCTCCTCTAGTCTGCAGCGCAGACATGCCTGCTGGGGACCGCTCCTCAGTTTAGTTTGCTTCTCTGAGCTCTCCTTTCTGAGCTCTCCACGTGTTGAATCACTCAGGAGATCACGGAGTTTTTCAAATTCCGGTATCGCTGTCATTTACAGATAAACACGACTTACTAAAGCTTAAAAGGAAGCTTTTGGGGCCAGCCAGCGGATACGTCCGGTGCTGTACGGGGCCGTCAGTACTAAGGAACAAGCTCGCACGTGCTGCTGCACGGACAGAGAGGTCAATATGACCTTTCAAAACACCATCCCTCACTCTGTGTTTAAAGGAGCGTGCGACTGAGGACTCACACGTGTTTTAGTTAACATCAGTGACGCAAGAGGAAGCTGAAGGACTCTAGCGAAGGCCCAGTGCTTTCCAAGGCTCGCGCAAAGCTGGAAGCAATTGCTCCCATCCCAGTGACAGAGCGAGCCAAGTGGCTTGCCCAGTTCCACCCAAGTTAGGGGCAGGTTTGAAAAGACACAGTCCTTCCTTTTAACAATGGTTTAACATCCAGGTTTATTTTGGGAGAAATGGGGAAAATGCATTTATTCTAAAGACAAAGGAAATCACTGGGCCATGCAGGCGGCTGTGCCAGAGCAGGTCAGCTGAACACTGAGTAACGCCAGGCCGACCATTAAACAGAAACTGCTGACCCATGACTCTCTCCCAGCGCCGATGAAAACTGCAGAAGTCAGAAGGAAGTTGGCGCTACATTTTATTACTTACCTAAGTTCTTCCTGCTCTTTCTTTTTCTTCATCTCTTCCTTTTCCTTCCTCTTCATCTCCTGGATCTGGGCTTTTTTCTCATTTCTCTCCTCTCTGTCCCGGGCTTCCTTCTCAGCAGCCAGGTCTGGGAAGCGCTCCACTTTTGTCTTCTCTAGCCGGTTCAGGATCTCATTCACCTTCTTCTCCACTGTCAGCATTTTCACCTTTGGAGGGCAAAGAACTGTGATCCTTATAAAAAAATACTTTTATTCTGGCACTTTCTCAACGGAAAGAAAACACCCTATTTCCACTTTACACATGGCTGAATCCCACAAAAACAGATGCTAAGGAAAATCACTGCCACCGAGGTCTATTCAGCAGGTTGCGTAACAGCGAAAAGAGGCCCACTCCCAACGCTCAGAAGCACATAGCTAATAAGCATAAGCATTGCTAAGTACATAAGCATTACTAATTTCATTTCTTGGCACATGCCTTAACAAAGAGGCCAAGAGACAAGAACCGGTCTCGGCCGACTCCTGAAGAGGGGGCAGGTGGTCTCTGCAGACCGTTTTGGGAAGAGAAGCTCACGTGCTGCTTGTTGACTGCAGGGATTTTAGCATTTCTTGCCCTGGTACAGACCTGTTTTAGTCAAACAACTGCACCTCTAGAGAGCCTTCTCTCCCAGCAGCCAAGCTACGTAACTACAGTTTAAGCATAACATTACCTGCGGACAGTAGGTCAGGCGTGGGAACAGCTCAGTACACTGGCTTGACCCTACACCAGAGCTAAGCAGCTCTGCCTTTTAGCAGGTTTAACAAATTCAGAGGCGGCACCAGGGTGAGACAGCTCTGGGAGCAGGCAGCAGAGCAAACACAGCGACAGACACCTCCAGGACCCCACACAGCCCTCCTTTGCACAGCAAGTTCAAGTCCTGAGCCCTTCCAGACGTGTGATTACACTACCGTCTGTGAGCTGATCCAAAGCGAGCGCTCATACGCAGGCCCTTCAGCGGTAGCAAGAGATGATTTCAGTGGAGATACATTCAAGCGAAACAGCACAGACTAACACGCGATACCATTCGGCATCAGCAAAGACTCATCAGCTACACTGTGCTGCAGTTTGGAAACACACGCTGTGCAGGCTACGCTCTGCTGCAGGCTGACGCTCAACCACGGATTTTCAGATGATGTTCAGGCAAGTCCAAACACGCCCCTGGGATCTCTCTCTCACGCTTCAGGAGTGGATGATTCCCTGGCTTTAGGGCAAGTGCTGAAGACAATCCACCCAGCTCCTAACACAGAAACGTTACAGTCTGCCACCGGGTCACCGTCACCGGCTCGCAGCAAACACTTACATCCTTCTGCCTGTGAAAGCCGATCTGCCCCACATCCATATCTGCAGTCTTCTTCAGGTTAGTCCACGGCGTGTACACCACGTTGACGTTGTTCATCTTGCAACCTAGGAAGCAGGGGAGGAAGAAAGGAGGGAAACGTTTCAATTCTCTCCCTGCTGAAAGAGGTCTTAAAAGTCTTCCACGTGCATGGAAACTGGCAGTTATTCTTGTCACAAACATTACTAGCTAGGCAAGAAAGAAGAAAACGGAGAAGTCCTTCCAGCGTTACAGTGAAACGGAAGAACACCACGACATCATTTTCTGCAGTAACAGGAGCGCTGCAGCAGTGCTAACGAACTCCAGATGGAGACCGTCTTTGCCAGAAGAGCGATTACTGTGGAAGGGGGCCCCAAGGTGGTGTTAGAGAAGAGACTGCAAGGCCTCCTCGGCTCAGACAGCAATATGGAGGCACAAACGGGAATTTCAGAGATTTAAGATTCCTCCTTACGAAAGTATAACGGGCAGCCCCAGGAGCTGCGAGTGACATCTGCTTCCCACAAGGCCCGCAGGCAGAGGCTTAACAGAGAGCACCACAGCAGAAACATCACAAACGTTTGATCCAAAAACCACGTGCTCCTGCGGACCAGAAACACTCGCCACGAGCACCTCACACCGATCTCCCGGGAATCGGTATTACCTTGAATGCTATTCGCCTTCACTAGATGGGCACAGTCTATCAAAACTTCTTTAGGAATGTCATCCACCGTCTGCCCCGCCCCTGTGACAGAGCAAGGTGAGCGGCTTGCGGCGGGGGGCTGCAGGGACTGAGGCCCCCGCCACGGCCAGGACGCAAGGCACGATGCCCTGCAAACGCACCCAGGACCTCTACGCTCCAGATTTTACGAGACTGGAGTCTTCTGTGGCATCTGTAAGGAGAGGCTTGAAGCACCACAAGCGAGCTGCACCCTGCTTTTCTCCAAGGTATTCTCCCCGTTTTAGGGGGGGTGATGGTTCCTAGGCACATGCTTGGTGTCAAGCCAGAAATCAATCGTTCTGTTGGGCCACGTTAAACTTCCCGCTCCTCCCCAGGTTATTTGGTAACGGAGGCTGTAAATTCAGTCTCCCCACACTGGTGGTTACCTGCACCCTGAAGGAGCCCTGCGGACTTTGCACGTGAGCAAAGATGGTCTTGTGCGCAGGAACGACTGCAGAACGGGCGCGTGCAGCTCCTACGCGGGTGAATATTAATGTCTTTAAATATACGTGTCACAGGATTACCTTGTGTAACCGAAGGTACACATGCGCGGAAGAGAGCTTATCCACATGAAACCTACAGAATAAAAAAAGCACGTTTAACAGAGGATAATAGATGGTGATCTGCTCCGAAAGATTTACTTCCTAACAAGTGACAGAACAGCCACTCCACGGGCAACAGAAGTATAGAAATGTTCACGATACACACGTTTAAAAGCAGGCAAGGGAGTCAGAGCCTATCCTTCAAGAAACATCAGTCCTCTCAATGGGAGACTGAAAAAAAAAACCAAAACCCTTTCCCCCCTCTCTTTTTGTCTTTTAAATGCTATACTACATGCAGGCAACACTCAGAGGATGAGCCTACGCACGCGGTGTTTTGGTCTGTCTATCTGTTCTTAAGAGAAACAGCAAACTCGTGGACTCTGCAGCAGGCATTGCTACTTACACCGCTTACGTGACTGGTCTCGAGCTCACAGAGCAAAAAAAAATAAACCCCAGCTCCTCAGTGGTCGGTAGAATGGTCCGTGGAGCCCAGCGCTCTGCCTCCAACAGCAGGAAGAGGCGATGCTGTCTGGGACGTGCACTGGATCTCGTGGTTTCAGTGGGTACCAGTCCCGACAGCAGGTGAGCACCAGTTCTGCATTCACTTCATTCACTGCCCCCGAGACTTCACAAGCCCCGATCGCCCCCCCTTGGCCCTCTCCCCCCAGACTGAGGAGTGCTCTCCTCTCCAGTCCCTCCTTACAGCACGGCTGTTCATCTCCTTGATGGCTCCACTGCCCTTCTCCAGACCTTTTCTAACTTGACTGTGCTTTTACCACGATCACCTATTTTGTAAGCCCTGTCCTGATCAACACTCACTCCCAACCCTGCAAACTTCCAAGGACAGAAGGGGGGAACCGATCTCATGTCACCTCCCAACCTTTCCTTCCACCACTTTCTTTTTAATATAACGGGACTTTTTCCTTCCTGCTACAAGATAGAAAACGCTCCAGCACCAACACGTGAACTCTCACTTGTACCTCCTGAGCCTCCTACCCTCGTTCCACCGGTCCCCTCTTAAGCAGGAGTAAGTCTAAAAGGTGCCAGACACCGTTAGGAGAACAATTCCCAGGAGGCCTCTGCAAGAGGACCTACGATACTTTGTTGAGATGGCACTAGGATATGAAAAACACAACGTGGATGATGTCGGTGTGAGCTACGAGATACGAAAGAGATGGGGAGAGATGACTTTCATGGCTCAGGCAATTTGAGGACGAATCTCAAGGTCTCTCCTAAATAACAGTATAGACATACCTTAAATTATGTAGTGATAGGACAAACATGAGACAGAAGATGAAAGCGATACCGCTACAACAGAGTGTGATTCAGCTGAAGTACAATCTCTGCTGCTAGAAAAGAAAATAATATTCCCTTGCCAGTTAGCTGACTGCTGACAAAACATCCTCTACGGGGCATGTTAGCTGCTACCTATTCGACCGCCAGTTCTGCCAAGACACCTCAGCTCATCCTGGCAAAGGCCACCTTGAAGGGCGAGAAGGAGCACAGTCCACATGGTGATTCTTGTTAGAAACTGTCGGCGCGGGAGAGGGCAGCAGCTGCGACACGTCTGGCCTGTGCAACAATGCCTGGAAGCAAGCAAACTCCTTCATAAAAAAAAAAAAAATCTCAAAAACCTTATCAGTCTGGAAAGTTTATGGACTAATCCAGCCAGCAAAGATGCCACCAATTGCTACTAAAAGGATTGGGAACTGCCCTTCTCTTGTTTTTCTCTTCCGATGAGATCTTACCAGCCAAACCCAATCGACACGCGTCAGAGCGCTTCCTTTTGCCTGCCCGGCCACAGCTCTAGCGGGTCTGCTTAGCGCAGAGACGGCTTTCACCCGACAGGAATCAAAATGTCAGACTCCTCTGCCCCTGCTCACCGACTCCCATTCCTGAGACAGCGACGGCTGTTTTACAGGACAGGCCAGTACTTGCCCACGGCGCACAGGGGGAGGACACGAAGCACACACAGAGGAAAAGGCACTGGGAGACAACAGACACGTTTTTTTCCAGGCACGGCATTTACTGTTGCTCAAAAAACTCCTGGCTCCATCCCCAGGCCCCGTCTGACTGCTCCACCATTTCACACGTTTGTGCCTCCACTCTCCTCGTCCTCTGTTAGTCTTTTGTTTTCGCTGGTTTTGCAGCGATATCCATGAGCTGGACTCAGGAGGTGCTCTCTTACAAATACCAAGCTGCCCTTCTCGTTTAACTCTGCCCATTTCCCAAACACACTAAGAGCAACGGCAAGCTAGCGCCTACATTCTGAAACGCAAATATCCGTGTACGGAGTTATTGCTACTCCAGCAGCTCCGTGCACAGGTAAACCCCAAAAAGCTTCACAAAGGGGCCAGCTCTTATGACGAACAAAGCGAGGGATGGAGGGGGAGATGCAGGGGAATGAGTTCAGAATCGACAGGCTCCCAGCAGCTGCACCTGGGTCTGCTGCAATCCACCTCCACGCTGGGATTGCATTGAAACCGCTAAGTGGCCTTGGGAAAAAAGAGACTCTACAGCGCCTGTGGAAGCGAGAGGGTTGTTACGATCATTCGACTCAGCTGCATAACGAAAGGCAATTTTTTTCAGCGAGTTTCAGTACCTACCAGATATCTTCAGGCCAGCCATACTTTATTAGGTCTTCATCTGTAGGAATAAAAGTATCAATGAGCGAACATCAACAACAAACCAAGCTACCTGCCGAGAGCAGGAACCCTCCGCTGTTGGTCAGCCACTGCCCGGCAACTGGGCAGAAACAGAAAAGGGCTTTAACGCCGCGCCTGCCTGCTCGCAGGTATGGCAGAAAACAGGTATGCCAGGAACACCTCCGTCACAGAACTTTGACATTTTAAAGTGAAAATACGTTTCTTCAAATGTCAGTCTAATGGGGGGAGACTTTCGGGGCAAGTCTTCAAAACAGCCACACTAACACTTTTCCCTTGGCGTGAGACACCCGGTTTCACAGCAACTACTGCTGTGGAAACAGGAGGCGCAGCAGAACCGTAACCTTCACCGTCAGGGAACAGTATTTTTCTCTAGACAGATTTTTTTCAGTTAATTTAGTTTTCACTTGTATTTGAAGGCAGTTACTCTGCCTAGAGGGTTTACAAAATTTATTTATCCTAACTAAAAGTAACACAGTGTATTTTAGAGGGGCAAGTCAGAATCACTTGCAAGGGTAGAGAAGTTTTCAAAGGATATTTCAAGTTAACACATACAAAGACGTCCTTTCAAAATGACCTTAAATCCCCACAAATCTAAACCCAATCCGTCAGGCATCGTTACATTAACGTACTTACTTTCGTACTTATCTTTTCCCATGTAAATGGTGTAAACGGAAGGAACAACTGAGGGATAGAAAGAGGAAAACAAATCAACAGGGGTCTGGACAAATTGTGCAAGGAATGACAAACACACCAGTCTTGGTCACAGAAATTAGAATGAAAACTGCTTCATCCATCCATCCATCCATCCCACTTTCCCTCCTGGGGGCGAAAGGAAGATTGTTTTGCATTTCCTCCAGATTTTGTCCCGAATGCTTCAAAGGACTACGGAAAGTGGTGTTTCCACTGCTTTCCATGGAAGATTATCCAGCAAGGAACAGCTTTCTGGGCAAAACACCCTCAACATCCAGGTGGTTCAGAATGTAGCTGTGTAATTGTATAATCTGTTCAATTAAGCACACGTCTGCGAGCCAGAAAGGCTGACATCGTATTTACAGTCTGGGATTAACTCTCTGTGTGGCCTTGAGTGAAACAGCTCATCTGCCCGGCCCTTGCTTCCCCAAAGTACCAGAAGCCCCACGTGAACCTCCCCCAGGTAGCCTGGGAAGATTAAAATTCAACGGAAGGACTGAAGTTGCATAAACAGCAGTTGGTGACTTGTTTGTCTCGTCTGTGCCTTTTTGGGGCACTTAAAACAACGTCCTTCTCCTCTTTAGGGCTCATTCCATCACGCAGTAAAGACACTGCCGATTCTGGGAAACCAAACGAGCGTCCCTTCGGCGTCTGGACCAAAGGCCAGCACAGCCAGGAGGCGGACACAGAGCAGTAAGAGGGTGCTGCGGTCAGGGAAGGCCTGTCGAAGAAACCACTGAGCAACCTGCTTAAAAAAAACCCCCACCACTCCGTTCTTGTACGTGGCAGCAGGGAAATCCCGATTTCACAGCAACGCTATCTACCAGTTTGTCAGGTTTCTAGCTTCCACAGTTTTTAACAGTGATGTTGTGAGTGAGCAAATGCTGCAGCCAGCCATAGCTACAAGCCTCAGCGCCGCACTGAAATTCAGCTGTTCTTCATGAGGACCTACAGCACCTGCACACTTTGGCACGAAGGATTACTGAGAGCGGGTTCTTGGCAGACGGCTTCGCGCCGTAACAGCCGGTGGCTGAAACAACCTGCTGCAGCAACACAGATTTGTATTTTTCACATACTGTTGCAGAACAAACAGAATTCATAGCGGGATTTCTAAAGTCGCTCACTGATAGCGCACAAATTCAAGACTAAGAGCGAGAAAACGAAATGCAGGTGACCAGATCTGCCTCCAAAAAGCATCCTTTGAAAATAGGGTGTCTAATCTCATCCTTTCAAAGTCACTAAAATAGTAGACGTGCTTCACTTACGTGCTACAACTCTGGCAGTGCAATGACTTGGATCCCAAACCGCTTACTGACCCGGTCCTTTCTGAGGGCATTTTTATCGGAAACCCAACATCGCTAGCACGAAGCCCCGGTAACACTTTTCAAAGGAAACCTATTGCTGTTTTAATTACGTTTAGCAATGAGGCGATAAGAAATGGAAATTCAAAAATATGAAAGGATTATATGCCTGCGGGAGTTAAAGATCGGAAAAAAAATCCACCCTGGACACATAGGAGAGTCCTGAGAATGTGAGGTCATGACCACAGGCACTACCCATAAGCGTAAAATTAAATGCTCAAAAAATAAAGTTGCGTTAGCGATGCTTCCACGAAAATGAAGCCCATCCTGCCGAAACAGTGGGGCAAGGCCAACATAACCGAGCAGGAGATTACTTCCAACCCACCTGATTTAACGCACACCAGTAACAGTGCAACATATTTTAGGCAAACTGCAGTAGCCCTCTTATTACAGACCTCTCTCTGGCAGCAAAACTGATTACAACGTGTCAGAAACCCTCTGCAGGACTATCATTTAAAGATAAAGGAGACTGCTCGCGTCATTAGCAGAGTTAACTGCAGCCTGTCTGCTCCCAGTACCCCCCAAGTCACCCTACATGTCTGCCAGGCACTGTACCAGGCTCTTTTCTCCCCACTAAAAGGTCCACATCCAGGAAAAGTCTCTGAACTTCTCGCTAGCAGCCTGCTGAGCAGCAGAAAATGTTTCCATCCGAGTATCAGGTTAAGTGATCAACGCAGCCAGGGTATCTGGTCCCTGGGGGTGTAAAGGGCCTTACTTTCCGCAACAGAGGGGAAAAAAAGAGTTCTTAAACAGATCCCAAGAACAATTTTATTGAAGAAACATTCACAAGACCGTTAAGTCTTGCCTTGCCCAAGGAAAATCAAGCAGCCAGACACTCAAATCCGTCTCATTAAGGCACTTCATCTCTAGAACTGAGGAAAGCAACGCTGTAAAATTCCAGCTTGCAGATACAGCGGGCAAGGGGTAGAAACCGTACGGCAACTTCCACAAGCAGGTTATACGGTGGTGAAACAACTGGTGGCAAACCAAAAAGGAACATTCCTGTACCATCCTCCGTATCATCAGCCCATACTGCATCAAACCACAGGTTTCGCATGCTTCAGAAGGGGCTAACCTTTCCATATGGGCAAGGGAAAGAGATCTGTCTATATTAAAGGAAAAATAACGAGACAGTTTATGCGCTATGCCTTCCCTCAAACTCCTGACAGCAGCACGCTTGAGGAAGCTTTTCAGGAGTCACTCACCGGTACCGCTGTTCGTTCAATGCTGTTACCAACCAGTAACAAGAGGCTCCGCACCTCAGGGAACCCCTCAGCTCCCGAAACGACTTTAAGCTGCAGCCGATTCCGGCCCAACCCGGGTCCTTTACACTCAGCCCAGCCCCGGGGTTCGCAAAAAGGCACCGGCAGGACTAACGGGGCTGCTTGGAAGGGCAGGGGCAGGAGGACGCGCCGTTGCCGGACGGCCCCGCTCACTGAGGAACCGGACAGGGGCGCGGCCCAGCGCTCCCCTCACAGCGGCGGGACCCAGCCCGCCACAGCGCCCCACCGCCCCCAC